GTACCACCAATAAATAAATATCCTAAAGCTATTAGAAAATAACTCAGAAAATATATGAAAAAATCACTGGAAATACTAATCAGGCAGATGGTCATATTGGGTAAACCAAACCAAAACAAACAATAACAAACAAAAGCAAGCAAACAAAAAAAGACCCAAGCCTCTACAGAAGATATGGTTTGAATTCAAAGATAATAATAGGATCAAAGTATATCATATGCATATGTGGAACAAACAATGAAATTCACTTGTAAAATTAATATATGCTAATAAAAAAATTGAAAATATGATGGAATTAAAATATGAGAAAAGCATACCATTTAGACAGCAAGGTTAAGAGTGCTAGAGTGGCTATGCTATTTTGACAAATAGGCTCTGACTGTCACACATTCCCCACTAATAAAAGCACTAACAGAGATCTGTCTGCCGAGGAAGCCTGCTGTGCAGCGAGCTTCAGGGATGGATTGGCAGTTGGGTGGCAGATGACAGAAAATCTGGCTGTTAGTCTGTATGTGTGTGCCTGCATGCTACTGAAAGCTCAATCATTAGAGAAAATATCTTATGTACCCTAAAAGAACAGTCTTTTAAGGTATTGTTTTAAGTTTCTGTGTCAATTTTGTTTCATTCCCTGGTAGATTAAAAATGAAGCTAAGTTTCTTTGTGTGTTTAAAAAATAGCCTTTTCAATCAGTTGTAAAAAAAAAAAATCTCTTAGTTTGTTTGCACCCTAGGGATAGTTAGTCCACACAGGCAGTAGAATCCAAATTAGCTTAAATTCCATAGGGCTCCTATTTTGATTGACTATATAGATAAAAATATTTACAGAATTCTAACTGACAGAAATAAAGAATCCCCAAAGGAAGAACCCGAACTTCTAGTACATTAAACATGTTAGCTTTTTGAGAATGTACTTCCAAGAAATTTCCAATTTAGAAGTATTTTATGGAAGACTATTAATCCACATATAATAATAATGATAGGTGAGTCATAGGTATCAAATAGTTTGACAATTTTGGGTTAAATAGTCTTAAGAAAACCGCAGTGAGATATCATTTCTCTTCCCATGCAATATGATGGCTACTGACCGAGAAGATAGTCAACAAGTGTTGACAAGACATGTGAGGAAACTGGAGCCACAGTCATTGCTGTGCTGCTTCTTGGAACAATATTTCAGCAATTTGTCAAAATGTTAAGCCAGGAGTTATCACATGATCTAGAAATTTCACTCCTTGATGTGTAAACAGGAGATTTGATATTTATGTCCACACAGGATCAGGATCCAAACATAGTTTCATCTAGGTTCTGTGAAAGCTGTTCCTACCACAGCCCTTATCTCATATGAGAAAAGGATTGTTTTCTGCAGCCTGGTGCAGCTCTGTTAGGTCTGCTATGGGCCTTTATTTAACATTGATTTGCAAAATTATAATATATGGCTCATCAACAGATGAATGTTTAAAGAAAGCAATGGAGTTTTTTTCAGCATTACAAAGAATGCAATTGTGTTCTTTGATGGAATTGGAGATCATCATGTTAGGTAAACCAAGGCAGTTCCATAAAGACAAATGTCACATGTGTTCTCTCATCTGTGGAAGCTAAGGGGAAACACAACACAACAAAGCAAAGCCCAACATTATGACAGTAACAGGGACACTAACAGGGAGGTGGAAAGGGAAGGGGAGAGCGGGGAGGCAGGAGTAGGAGACAGAGAGAGGAATAGAGGGGTCAATACCATCAAAGCACGTTATATTTAATATATACCAATAAAAGTTCACAGCTTTCTGAATTATCTGACATAAGAGCTTTGTAGCATGTTGCTTTATTCCCCTTTAGGGTAAGCACGACAAAGTCAGACAAAACACCTTGAGATATCAAATTGACCAAATTGCCTAATGAAAGTTCTCCTCTAGACACATTGTAACATTTCCTTACTGATATATTTACCTATATTTATATACTTTTCTTTAAATTTAAAATATCTTTCTGGGGAGAATTTTTAAGAGAACTGTCATAGAAATCCATCAAAGCATCTAAAAAACAAAGAAAGCATGAAAGTAGGTTTCTATAAGTTCTTACAATCACTTTTTCATATGAGTAGGATTGTAAATTCTTATCATCTGCTTCATCATGCTATGGACTAAATCTGGATACCTCTGAGAAGATTTCTCATAATAATAAATATTTAATGTAATCATGCAAATCATGTTTTAAAAATGGTTATAATTCTACTGACTTGTTTGCCTTTAATTCAAGTAAGAGAAAAACCAAAACCCATTACATTGGTGTTTAAGAGCAGAGCCTGTGAGTGATAAGCTAATGACTGATCATCCCAGAGCTAACACCTATGAGAAGGCTAGCTTCACCTACCAGTTGGTACAGTTCATTCCACCCAATTTTACTTTTTGAATAAGCTGGTAAAATAGAAACACAATTGTTTCATCATCACAGCATGTAACACGGTTTCTAAAATAAACACCAATGAAAAGTTATGAGAGGGCAGTTTAAAAGTCTGTTACTCCATAAACATAGTACATTATTATTTTGATATAAAAAGTGATTTACACATGATTACTAAAAGATAACATATGAGCTGCTTTCATTCACATTTCAAAAGAGAAAAAGTGGTAGGGTTCTGCTTTCCAAAGGAATGTTCACTTTTATTATAAAATATTCTTAACTTTAAGACCTGATACACTTTGAAAGTACAGGTAAACTGAAAATGTAGCAAGTTCGTTTTCAGTTGCTATATTCATAAACTAATCCTTCATACTGAAAAAAAGTACTGATGAAATTTATGAGAAATCCCAAAAGAATTGAATTTGGAGGATTCAATTCAGTTGGCTTACTAGTGGAAAAGTGTTACTGTTACCAAGGGAGCTATCTAAATTCAATCCTTTGCCACCAAATAGAGTAAAACAAAGATAAAAGCAATTTTAAAAGGCTGTGGGGAATTTTACAGTATCCCTATCTATTTAGGCTTAGGAGATGGATTTCAATGAAATAAAAAACATAATCACAATTTTACCAATGAGAGTATGAACGTGTTTCTATTATAAACTATTACATATGCTCATTTCAAAGTAATTCATCATGACAGCTATTTTCTTCATAAGCAAGTCCACAACCTTCCAAGTAATTATTAGATATAATTTAGGCTAAAAATAAAATAAAATTTTAGCTTAAAATAATAAACATATTGCTGGACTCAAAAATATGCCATTTTTTATTCTGGACTTAATGAAGGAAATACTAGCACATTAGCCATCCTTAGGACTTTTCTAGTGTTTTAATCACATTTATTCAACACTATTACTATACTGATCAAGATAAAGATTGCTCTGAGGAAAGGTTTATTCATCCTCTTCCTATTCCCTTTTCAACCAAAGTAGTATATGCATATGCATGTATGCATGCATACACACACTTGTAAATTATGATTTTGGTGTCAAAAATAAAAGAACTCAAAGGAATAGGGGAGGGCTAGCAGTCAAACATGTTATTTAGTACTTGGTTACTCTCTTTTACATAACTAAGGTGAAATCTGGCTTCAGTTCCCTTGGACTAGACAGGTAATTCATTGGACTAACTCAATGGGCAATAAGATATTTAAGGAAATCATGACTAAACACTTAAAGTATTAGATATATTTATTTTAGTCAATGTGAGAATGACTGAAAGTGATCATATTTAACAGTCTTTCACTCTATTTTCAGGATAGAAAATTCACCTGAATTCTCATGATGCAGTTAGTAATTCCAACAAGCACAAAGAGCCTACTATGATGGGTGGTTCTGGCAAAGGGACCATGAGTCTGGCCAGCCCTGCAGTGCTAACCCAAGTCTTACCACCACCAAGTCTGCATAACACTAGCACAATTATTACTTACACTTTTATTGTTTAAAGAAATTTAACGTTATCCACATTTCAAACACAGACTCACCCAAAGTAACAGTATTTATGAAACCTCAGGTATGGTATTCTAGTTATACTTTTTCTAATACAATACATGATTACATCAAAGTAATATTCTTTAAAATGATCCCATATACTACCAACAGCACAGGCAAAACATTTAGTGAAAGCAGATTATCCCATATAATTTTCAACCTGATTTCTTTTCATAGAAATAAACTGATGAACGTACATTAACACAAAGTTTCAAAACACAGATAAGATTCAACTAAATGTCATGCTTGCTAATTATGCACTTGAGGACATCACTTAAACTTGGAAAGTTTGAACAAAGGCAGCTGAGTTGATACGTTGAATCCAAAATATTCATTGCCTCAGTCTCAGGAGACTAAAGAGCTTGGAGGAAGTTATACTTTACACAGAATGAAGGTGGATAGAGCACACAAAGGACAGGGTGACTGAAGAATCCACCGAGATTCTTCCTTCCCAAGCACAAAGAGCCTTTGGGGTTTGTACAGCTGGTAAGAGTTAAAAGTGATCCTTCACTTCCTTAAAGGGGTGATTGCTATACATAAGGGAGATGAAACAGGCAAAATGTGGTTCAACTTGACAATTCTGCAAGTTGTTCTACAGAAGAATAATTATATTTTTGAGTTTCTGATTTGAATTTGATCCACCCTGTACACTAACTCAGGTATATTCCATTTCTTCTTCAATAAAGCTCGAATCACCTGCCCTTATATCTAATAAGTGCTGGGAAAGGTAAAGCTCATAATGGAATAATCATCAAAACTCAAGCACCTAAGAAGACACATAGGGGCCTAACAACATGAATTATATTCAGATCACATGGTCCTCATAGACTCAAGTCACTCAAACTTTACATATTAATGAAAATACTGTCAGGCTTCTAGGTGTTCATCTTATTTTCCTTTTCATGAGAAGTGGGGATGAGCTTTTTCTAGCATATAATTTCCTTGTGAGAGACGTTGATTAACAGTATTAGGTACAATGCTCACTTTATAAAGCTCAGTATATGTATTGTATCTAACACAATAACAAATAATAATAAAAGAAAGCATAAATTCTAACCACTTTGTCCTCCTTTGGGAAAGCATCCGAGCAAGCAGAGGGAGAAGAAAAAGAGAAAAACAAAAATGAGTCATGTATACATAAACTGGCTTTATTAGAACAATTATGTTTTTCTTCGAAGTATTACCACAGGCATTTTGAAAAGCAAATCCTTCATTTTAAGCCCACACAGGTCCTACTATATGTTAGATACAAGAATGGGGCCCTATAGTTTCCAAAGTTTTCGAATTTGGATTTGTAAATTATATTTAAAATATTCTTCAGAAAGAAAAGTTAACTTATATTATTCTTGAAAGAAGTGTTTTATTAAAATGCCTAAAATGATACTAAGTAATTTTATCAGATTATTGCTAAAATATTTAGTCATGATTAAGAACTATCTAAACATCTGCACACAGATAAAAACTGAGAGGAATGTGTTAATTACCTTAGCCATAAATTATTCCAAAAGCAATATCTACTTGTAATATTTTAAAACTTGTATCACTGGAAAAACCAACTTCCTACAATTTTTTAACAATTTTAAGTTGAGCAGTCTTTTATTTTGTTCCTTTAAGCATTTTTTTCCAAAATGAGATGGGTTTTGTTGAGGTGCGTGAACTATAATAGGCCTGAGTGTCCTCGTCAATGAGAAATACCTCCTATTCAATTCTATAAACTCCTGTCTGAAACCCGAGTTTCACCCTGATGATTCTAACATTAATAGTTAACTGTATTGCTATTGGCTTCCCTCAAACCTATCATGGAAAGTTCAGAACATTCAACAGCTGTGTATACTCAGCCAGTCCTAACACTCAGCTGACTTACACCTCATTCATTGTTCACTACCAGGGCCTTTTCAGAATAGTGCTGCCTTACAACTTAGCCTGTTAAATGTTTTGATTATCAACTCAGGTTCTCAGCTGTGAGAATCATGTCACAGTATATATTTAAGAATACTAAAAAAAGGGCAATTAACAAATATTTATATATATATGGTATCTTTTCTATGTGCCAGACATGATCTTAATAGCCAAGCTTGTTCTAGACAAGCTTTAGGGTGTCATATAAGCATTCATCATAACAAATCACTTTTAGAAGGGAAAAATAAAACTGATGTAGTCTTAAGAATGGAACCTAAGCCAGGTGCTGGTGGCTCAAGCCTGTAATCCTGACAACTCAAGAGGTGGAGATCGGGAGGATTTTGATTCGAAGCCAGCCCAGGCAAATAGTTCACAAGACCCTATCTTGAAAATACCTATCACAGAAAAGGACTGGTGAAGTGGCTCAATGTGTAGGCCCTGGGTTCAAGCCCCAGCACTGTAAAAAAAAAATGGAATCTAAAGAAAGATTAAATATGAATATTATGAAGACAGGGATTTTTATTTCACTTTTATAACAACTATACAAGGTAATTACTGTGATCCAGATTTATAGATTAAAAAAAAACTGTTGTACAGAAAAAGTTATTTTGCCCAAGAAACAGATAATATAGTCTTTAAAGCATAAAGTATGTCTAAAGTACTCAGTGCCTTAATTCCATAGGAAGAGATTTCAGATATCCTACTTAAAACGTAAACTACCCAAGAATAAGATGTCAACTGGGAAGTTTAATTTTAATATGATTTTCCAAATTATAAAAATACAAAGAATACTCAATGTTTTCAAGTTGTTTTAAAATAAACTTTATACATTAAATTTCACATGATTAGCCATATGAGAAATTCTTTTAAAAAGGATAGGAATTTTTAGGACTATGATAATCATAACTGTTGTATATTATGCTGCAGATCTAAACCCAAGAAAACTCATCCAGATTTCTTTTAAAATAATTCTATTGTACTAACGTAGGAAATGTGAGAAAGTATAAATTAAAATGTATTAAAATGTAGATTAATTACAGAATTAGTCCAGAATTTCATACATAATACTATTAGGTCCTACAATATTATCTTAAAGCATCAAAACATCGTGTTTATTTAAAGCACTGGCACAACAGAGAAATTGCTCCTATTTAAACCAAATAAGGAAACTACGCCAAGTGAGAGTACATCTCATACAGGTGTTCTCGAGCTCTGGAGGTAAAGGATTTGCTCTTTTCTCTTCAGGGGACACTCACGTTGTTGGATCGTAGAGATACACGGCCTCCGCAGCGTGCACAGAACTTGGTGCGACAGTAGGAGCACAGGTGACCACACCCATCAGCAAACTTGGTCTTATGACAGATTCCACATGTGGGAGCATCCTCTTTGTGTTCGCCCTGGTAACGCCGTGCTTCTTCCCCTATTTTTCTCACTTGTTCCTTATAGCTTTCAAATTGTTGATGCAATCTCCTGGGCAAAGAGAAAACAGTAGTAAACTAAATCATGGAAGACAAACTGAACAATTTCTCATAAACAAAATGAAAGTAGAGCTATATGAGCGAAAGCAAAACACATAAAAGCTCTTTTCTCTACTGAGCTCCAAAAGTAAGAAATGTACTAGCAGGTATTCCATGTTCCAGTTTTGCTCACTACCATGTCTGTCTAGAATCTATACAAGCACGTGTGTCCCCACCAGTGAAATCCAAATAGCTACTCCATCTCACCACGTCTTAGATCCTTTCAAAATATGATAACTGCAACCTCAACACTCCACGACCACACCCATGTTCTTGAAACTAAAGCAAAAACTGAACAAAATATTTAGCCACATTATATGTGATATACTCTTGGTATTTTCTATCCTATTGTTTTGAAATTTTAATTCTGAATAAAGTTCAGAAAAAACTTAATTACAATAAATTGATTACATAAATTATTTGAACATGATGTATACTTTGAAAACTACTGTTTTAACTGTATTGCTAGGCAATCCGTCTTCCATAAAATGTATCCCTTTATTTAATAAATGTAAGAATATCTGGTAAGTTTGTTGAAGAGTTATGTGATGCATTAACTATTTTATACTTTAATTCCCATTAATCTAAGATCAAGTTGACAGAAAACAGCCATGGATATCTATTAATTCAAAAGTTATAATATATCACTGAAAATCTTATAGTTTCTATTAAATAAAATGATTATTAAGGAATAGGAGCAAGGAAACAGAAATAATGAGGAGACTATTATCTACTTCATATCAAATACCTGATTTAATGCTACAATATTAAATATTGGCTTTTACATTATGTTTGGGCTCACTAGTTTTCCCATGTCACATTCAAAGTTCTAAACCACACTTTGAAAATGTCCAGATGTTCACATACTCTAATTTTCTGTGATCTCAATCAAGAAAGAGTACTACTCTTTGATAACTTTTGGTGGTGGGAAAACCCAAGTTGCTGAGGCAAACTGCTTCCCATAAGAATGTTCAAATTTAATATGATTTAACTTTCCTTCCTCTCCATAAATCCAAATTCATCAATCTTAAATTGCTACAAGCTACAAATAGAACTATTTGCTGTTCTGAATAGATCACTATGACATCCACTGAATCTCCCAGGGAAAGGATGTCTGGGTTTTGCAAATGAGAACTGAGATTGTTGTTCTACACCTAGCCAATAATCATTGGCTAGTTTGCCAGGAGAATCTCCTGGGAAATGGCTGATCAAATTCATCTGTATACCTGAGTTAGCTTGCTGGAATCAAGTATTCCCTCAGACACTGGGTACACAGATGCTATTGTTATTTCAGGCAGTTAGCTTGATGCTCTGTATCTAAGACAACGATGGGGAGCTGTACTCTCTAGACACCAAATTCAGTAAGTTAGGCCCAAGCTTTGCAGTGTTGAAAGTATCAGGATTTCATTATATTTTTGTAATATCTCATCTTGAGGAGAACTTCAATCATTACTATCTGCTTTCCAATTGAACCTTTTTCTATTAAACTCTCATAATTAAAGCAAACATATATGCATTAGCACATAATATAGTATAATATCTGAAACCATTCCCGAACCAGCTAATTTCATTTCATAGGGAAAAATGAAACAAAAACTCTAAGCATAAAGGAAGTGCATGTGAGAACCACCAAATAAAATCCATTTAAGTAAATATAAATGAGGCAAAAGCTAGGCTAATATCAGAGCTTCCTTATAAACTTATCCTATAATATAGAACATGACTTAAGTTGAGTGTTGGTAAACTTTTCTGTAAAAGGTCAGATTGTAAATATTTTCATCTTTATGGGATATACAGACTCTGTTGCAACTACTCAATTCTACTCTTGTAGGAGAAAAGTAGCCATAGATACTATGTAAATGAATGTGTGTAGATACATTCCAACAAAACTATTTATAAAAAATACATAGTAGGGGTGGGTGTGGTGATCATGCCTATAATTCCAGGTAATTAGGCAGAGATAAAAGAATCTTTTCTCTTTTGGCCAAGGGCAAAAAGCTGGAGACCTTATCTGAAAAACTAAAAGCAAAGGTCTGGGGGTAGGACAGAGTGCTAGAGGGCTTGACGCCCTGGGTTCAATTCCCAGTATAACAAGAACAAAACACTAGTAGACCAGGTTTGACCTAATGACTGATCTGCTAATATATAATGGTTTGCAAAACAAAGCTTTTTTTATTTCAAAATTCAAACATAAAAGAGTTTTATACATCATATAAAGCATCTATTTTAGAATATCTTTCTTCCTCTCCTCTCCTTTCTTTCTCCCCTCCTCTCTCCTTTCCTTTTCTCCTCTCCTTCCTTCTTTGTGGCTCTGGTGATGGAACCCATGGCCTTGTATACATCCCAGTCCTCTTACAAAATCTTCCTACAATATATACTTGTGTACTCTTACCCTAAGTGCAATCTCCTTTGGTCACTCACAGGCCACTTAATATTTTTTTAATTGACATTATTACTATTTCTGTGCACGATACTTGTTTTCTACTAAACAGTAAATATTAGAAATGTACAATTTAGAAAACAGTTCAACTGTTTAACCTTAATAGTAGTCAGTACATATTTTCTAAATAGTATGTACATATATATGTATTGTATGTGTGTATATACATACATTTTTTCTTAGTCCATTTTGAGAAAAAAACAAGTAATTTACAAACAAGTGCATATTGAAGATAAAATATCCTGAAAAAATTCTACTTCCATATAACACTGAAATTTTTGGTTAAAATATTTGTTAAATGACCTTCAATGAAGAGGAAGTATACAAAATCCTCAAAGGACTATTGCTATTTAGAAAAGTAACACAGCTCAGAAGCAGATGTCTGCCCTAGGGACAGACACTGAGGCTCTGTGATCAAGAACTTGAGTTTTAACTTTTATACAGTGAATGAAATTTTTAGTTGGGTAGCCACCAAAAATAATTGAAATAAAAAGTATGGTATCCAAGCCAGTAGCAGAAAAATAACCCCACAGAATTAGAAAAAAAGTCAGTGTAAAAAAGATAAAACTAAAATATAGAAGTACATAAACACAGGCAAAGTGGATATAATAATTACAAACTATGTCATGAAAAGGTAGAAACAATTTAACACATTAGGTATCACAGTGTAATGAACTACAGAATCATTATAAGCCAAAGATGATCATACTAAAATTTAAAGACTGCTAAGTGAAGCAATATATTCAAACATAAAGACAGACAATATTTGAAATAAAATAATAAAGGAAGATACTATATAGCAAAGTTAACAAAAATAGATGAGGAAAAAAAACCTGACATAATATTTAAGTCAAAAATTATTATTAAAGATGAAGAGAATAACCTATTTACAAGTATTTATTTAGTGTTATACATAACAATTTAAAAACTGCATGTAACAAAATGTAAAACAAAAATTGATAAAAATACTAGGAAAATAGAGAAATCCACATTCCTGGTATGGTATTTTTATACACCTTTCTCTGCAATTGATGGATAAAATAGATTTAAAATAAATAAGAATAGAAAATATTTTAATAACATAATTACCAAGTGAAATATACTGGACAGGTATAAGTATGCATATATGCATACAATATAAATATATATTAGTTACATATATACAGGTATAAGTATACCTGTCAAGTTGATTAAACTAGCTTGTTAAGCCTGATGTTGAGCTCTCTCTCTGTCTCTCTCTCTATGCTTAAAGCATGTTTTTTTCAATCTAGATACAAAGCTTTTCAAATTTTTTATAAAACTCTAGGCCTCAAAAGCACTGGAAATATTTTATTTCTCAAGCTATGTGGAGAAGTAATGATATATGTCTTATTCTTTTTCTTTTATGCAAGTATATTCATATGAAAAATCCACTTCTATCCTCTATCATCAAATAAGAAATGAGCATAATACAGAATTGAAATGATAAATGTACTTACCAGCATTGTAATGTACAAAAGAATTCACTGGCCATCTAATTAATTTTAAGAAATGCATCTATTTAACCACACAATAACTTTGTGAAGTGGACAGCATTATTTCCACTTTATTGAGAGGGAAACTAACTTTTGTCTAGTGCTTTGCTTTTTTCTTTCTACCTGAGCACACCATTCTAAATTCACATTTTTAGATCTTATCCTGAGCTCATACAAAGGATAACAATAAATTTGGACTCCAGTAGCAAATTAGTGTTTCTGGAATCATGACAGTATGAATCACCAGGCAACATCAGCTCTTGATCACAGCTCATTGATAATGTACAGAATCTCACTATGGAAAAGCAAAAGCTATGCTGATAAAGTCATGACATGAAACTTCCATAGATTCTTCACTTCTGCTCAATAATACGTTCACTCATTTTCAAATTCTTCCCAAACTCTCTTATCTCAAATTGATTTCAAGCTACAGTGTCCTTTTGGAGGAGTTACTGTTTTGTGTGATCCCAGGGACAGCTGTGTAAGCACTTGCATCTTAGACATGAAGTGTCCTAGACCATGGCATATGTGGAGGCAAAACTTCCTCCTCCAGTAGACACAGTATGTGGCTGGTCAGATGAGGCTTCTCCACTGAGGTGTGAGGGTGAGGTCTCTAGCCCCTAACTTACTCCATAGATCTTAATGTAGTTCCTAAGGAAGAAGCCAATAGGGAGCAGCATTCCCCCACAGGCATGTCCTTCCTGATGCTGCCTCTTGGTGACTTGTACCCATCTGTACTAGCTTTTCATACATGTTAGAAATTCCTTCCTAGCCTGGAACTTTCTTACATCTTCAAATACTTTCTGCCTGGGTTCCTTCCTTTACTTATAGACGGATTTCTTTATTCTGCAACCCAGGTCCCTACCAACTTACCAACTTATTTCCTAGTATGTTCCTTCTTTTCACTAGCAGACATTACAAGGGGAAGGAAAGAAGGAAGGAAGGAAAAGAGGGAGGCAGGAATGGAAGAAGGGAGGGAAAAACAACAAACACTATGGT